GTCACACGCCTCACTAACCCAATCCTATGTGCGTAGAAGGCAGTGGCCCTAAGGCTCCCGTGGCCGAAGGCTTACTCAACATCCGCCCCCGTGCGTCTTACCACGCTGCGAAACGGTGACGAGGTCCCGATAGCAAGCATCCCTTGACCACTCACGCCGTCACGAGACGATGACACCTTGCGTCCTCACACCTCCCAACAAAATGCGAGCCAAGGACGATGGGACTACACGAACTAATTGTCGGATCCCCCCCTTCTCGCCTCCTACCCTTTCCCCCCTCTGATCCCCAAATTAAGATTAGAATCTGGCCCTTTTGATCCCTTTACGCATCTCCCCCTTATTCCCCTACTTATTACTGATTGGCATTTTTTTAGTTGACGGTTTTAGTTAGTTATTTTTTTACTTTAGTTATTTTCAACTATTGGCATAATTGCAAATTTTAATTATGACACGCTTTTTTGTTGACGAACATCAGGTTATTTAAATACTCATTCCTGTTTTTTCTACTTTTCTAAACTTTATTCTTCTATTTACATTTCCTTTCCTTTTTACTACCCCGACTGTATACGCTTTATTACACCTGGTCCTGTATTACGGAAGGATGGGGTTTTCGCGTACGGATCTGGGACCCAAACTAGGATTCTACCCCTTCTGAACCAGCGTGACTGGGGCCGCATACTGTGTCTCTGTCAGAAACTGTCCCAGTAAACGATTCTTTATCTTTGAGTACCAATTCAGTGTATTGAAATAGTTTGTGTAAAAAACGAAAGAGGGCGAAATGTGATAAACTGTGGTAAGTGGAAAAAAAAATGCAAAAAACGCAGCACAAGGTGAAAACACGAATAATCCCGGGGGCAGGGGGGTTAGTTAGACCTGCAGAAGAATGGCAACACCCCGCAGCACCCACTTAGCAGCCCTTTCCTTGGTTTTCAAATTGAACACCCACACGAACGTGGGTCCTCGCGTCTTGGTCTTGTAGACAGGGCACTGGTAGACATTCTT